AAAAAAAAAACAAAATTGAAATGGGGCATGACTTAGCTCCGGGCTCGTTCGAGCAACACGCCACTGATATGTATATGTGCACATGTAGAACCGCTGAACTTTGTTTCATCTCCATTTAAAAAAAAAAAAACTGAAAAATTTTTCCCCTCTTTTTGTATCCATCCCCAAACTCACCCTCATACTCATACTGTTACTCAGTTTGTTTGTTTTCATAGAAGTATGTAACACCCAGAAGGAAGCTTCAGAGACCCTATGAAGTGTACATATTCGTGTTCGGCGTGAAATTCTGAATTGATCAAGCCATGTGTGTCCATTTGTGCGATGGTTGTTATTGGCATTCGCCTGGTCGTGAAAAATGAAGATGTCGGTTAAAAATTTTGGTAGAGACATTAGAACTTTTTGCAAGCAGGTTGATATTGAAGATGGACCAAATTGGTCAGAGCAGGAGCTCACAGTGGAACACAGTAAGCTGAACGTAACTTCGTTTTTTTTTTTAACAAAAATTTGTGTTACTCGGAAATTATGAAAGTTAAAAAGCTAAAATTTTTAGGTTGAAAATTTAAAAAATCGGCCCATGCTCATCCAAAATTACAAGCGATTAACTTGGCTTTGTTCTTCACTTTTTTGAGGTTTTATATTTAATTATCATAAGGCAAACAAGACAGAATGTTTAGAACTATTTTGTACACTCCTCAAATGCAGATATATTATCTGTCTAAAGATCGGTTCTTAATATTACCAACGACATGGGTATCAAATAAAAAAACTTGGAGAATAGAACACGAAAAGTTAAGTGTGTTAGCGCCAAATTAAATATCTCGGACGTCGCGACATAATGAACTGATTTTTTCGTTACACGACCCTTGATATGGGTATCAAATACCGGCGGATACAATCTTCTTCAATTTAGTCTACTTCTACCCTCCACTTGCTTTCATTACCATTGTTTCATAATAAATGGACGGTTTATTCATTTCATTTTGGAAATGTATTTTCCGTTGAATCCTCACTTAGGTCTGTTGGCGAAAATTACAATGCTCTGCCTACTAGATCCGGTTCGTGCAAAGAGAAGAACAAATTTAATATGCCTACGTGTTGGGACAATGTTGATTTCATTGTATATTCATTAATAATTTATGGTGTAACGGACGAGTTAATGAAATTTAGCAAACGTTAACGTTATAAGTGTTGTAATAATATGCTAAGCAATAAATGTCTTAATCAGGAGAAACGTACAATTTTCATGCAAAGGGTGACCGGTGTTACGGTTTATCACTTTGGTTAACAGTGAATTTGACAGTTCATGCCTAACTGTAATGAAGCGTAATCATGAACAAATTACCCCGACGTAGCAGTCAGCTTTAATTGTCAAAGTATTTTATTTACTTAAATAGTCAACTATTGCGTACATTTTGTGGGAGATAGAAACGAGTGTTTAAAGACAATTTATTGGAAACGCATTCTTATTTTAGAAAGAGCTGAACATAATCCAACTAAAAGCAGGTGTCATCAGAGAGCTTAATAAGAGTTCTACATAGAGTGCGGATCTTGCTGATTGCTGGGGTAAGACTGCATATATCTCTTGGCAATAAAATATTAGTTTTTGGGGCGAATATCCTTTACTTACTGCAGGTGATGAGTATGGAATGCATTCGGTGGATGTATTTTTATTACTTACTACACATTGAATTTATTCTCGCTGTTATTATGACGACTAAAATGGTATATATCATGCAAGTGTTTCCTCTTGTGTTTTTTTGCAAGTATTATAAATTTATGATTTATTGTAGCAATTTTCCATCAGTAGTAGTACCTTAAACAAATGAACACAATAAATACATTGCAGGAATTCTTTCCGCACTTTTGATAAAAGAAGCGAGCGAAAGTAATACTTAACAAATATATTCAAATGAGTGCTCTATGCGCTTTTGAAAACGAGCACAAGCAATAAGCATAATAATAATAATAATAATAATAATAATAATAATAATAATAAGAAGAAGAAGTATAGTCTTTCATTCATATTCCAGTAAAAAAGAAAATGTATACAAATTTTTCAAAACACATTTAAAAGAAAACAGTTTTGATAAGAAGAAGAGACAGACGAACTACAGTTTTTATTAAAAAAAAAACGTCCCTGCACAGTATAGTGCAAATAAATGGGCGCCATTGAATTAATTTACAGATTTGTGCTGTTTATAACACCACATACATACATATGCATGAAAAGATTTTGTATAAAAAAGAATTTTTATTTAAATTTACGATTGAAACGACGGTTTTTCTTTTCTTTTTTTTTTGTTTTGTGCGTTTTTCTCAAAGCATTGGAATTGTGTTATCCATCTGGGATTTTACAAGGTCATGCAGGGAAAAAGCAAAAGTTAGCAGTTAACTACAAAAACAAAACGTGCAACCGAAATTGCAATTTCCACGATGACCCAGAAAGATAGCGAAACAACGCTACGTAATATACGGATGCGATAACGTTTGCGAAGCGATTGCTTAATACAGTTTCGAAACGCAATAAATTGAGGAAACAAAAATTTATTTTCTAGATCGAAGATATAACGATGCGTAGCTATTAAATTTAGTGAAGGGAATCAGTTAAATAAATAAAGCTTAAGTTTAGTTAAATCAAATAATTAAACATATTTATATAAATTATTGATTTATTTAATTATTGTATTTTACACACATACACATATGTGTTTATTTATTTATTCATTCATTCATTTGCTTATTCATTTATTTTTCATATAAAACCTAATTCCGTTATAAAGTAGTTTTAAGGAAACTATGACAGCCACGATATGAAGTTCAATGAACCAAGAGATATATATGGATGCTTCATTTGTCAAATCGATTATCTCCGTAAAGCAAGAAGTTGAGAAAAATGATAAAATATTATAAATAAATTATTTATTATTCAGTGGCCAAAACCATTTTGCCATTTAGTGGTGTTACTACTTTTAATTAGAGAAATTCGTTTTGAATATGTACAGTTAGCTCCTGCTTTGATATTAAAATTTAATAAAATTCCAAAAATGGAGTTAATCGATTTAGCACGTGAACCATCCATATAGCTTATCGAAGGAAATTATCTTCTTGATAATAAAATTGCGTCGACTTTTACATTGTTAAATATATATAGATTTAGAGAATTGTGTTAGTTTGCGTATGCTGTTAACTGAAAATAAATTACGGAGGCAATTGATTCACTTCGACGACAGATGTAGATGTGAACTTTTGAAGAATAAGACAAATTTCCAATTAAAGTCTATTCTTTTTTCACCATTGACCGGTTAGCGTAACAATTCAATTAATATTTTATTCTACTATATCTACTAAATTATTATTATTCATTGTCGTCTTTAGTTGTTAGTGGGCTGCCGTAAACTTTTTTGCTAATAAAAAGTCAAGTATAACAAGTAAAAATTCTATGTACGGACGCGGCCCACCACTAGATACTCTGGATCATTTCTTTTAATATAGTTATTCATAGAAGCACTCTCTAAAATAATGTGTTACATGGGGCTTGGTCCAAAAATTGTTCGAAAGCATACCAGTGTAGCATGCATTTGCTTAGAACATCTAAAAAATTGCGACCTGTAAATTGAACACAAGAGAAAAGAGGGAAACGAGAAGTCTACCTCAAGTCCTTCTGGGACTTGCACCCTTGCATCCTTGTACAATCACTGACGTAAAGTATAAAAACTATTTGCTTTTAGGGCTTAACGTGCACCCAGATAGGTAAAGAAAATCTTTCAATTGACTTTTCATTATATAAACTAATTTGTCTTGACACAACTTACATATAGGTTTTGTTTGTTTTTTAAAAACTTGATGGTAGTGCTACCTAAAGACAACTTCATATACGTGGAGTCTGCTTTTATTAATAATTTATTGTGTATAAGTCGCTTATTATACAGATTATACGCAGATTACTTTAGTTTTCAAGCCTCTGCGTACATAATGTATAGGTACACATATATATATCATTTGAAGAAATCAATCCGATGCATATATAATTTCATTGCATATCTCTTGGGCGGCTTCCTTTTACACATTACTCGAACCGTTAGTTGGAAATAGTCATAAACGACAGATTGATAAAGACATTGCTTGAAACGGCAAGTATTCAATATTTGTTCTCAAATTAATATCTAACTTGCTTCTCCTTTGTTTTCTTGCTTTTAATTATCATATAACTGCGGTAAATAAAGTTTTCATGATTCATTTTGAACAGCAGGTGCATATACGCATTTAATATATCAAAGAACGCTTTCACCATCTACACCTACAATATGTCTTATGATTAAAGTTACGCACGTGTAAAATTTATGTGTTTGCTTGCATATATTTGCATAAATATACGCCCGCAAAGCGTAATATGTAGGGCAAGGTTAAGGCTTCCAATTTATAGTTTGCAGCAATGCTTGAAAACATAAATTTCAATAAAGCAAGAAAAAAAGAAAACAAAAATCTCTACTACGATAATAAAACACAAAAACTTAATGGGAACGTGGCTTTCAGCTCATTCTGGCTTTAAATAACCAGTTATGTTACGATATAACTGTGAAAATATCTTTTTAAAGTTCTACCTCATCTTACCAGAGTGCGGTTATTCTTTGCGATGCTAATTTGAATAAAACAATTTTTTTGTATGTTACGGAAACTTTGTCTATTTATTAAAAATTATTACCCTGATCGTAGATATCAAGTTTTTAATGAGCAAATAAATCGACAATTACTCTGGTCTCGTTAGTAAATTTATCTCATAAATAAGACTTTTCTTCGCACACATAGACTCTAGCTAACCTCAAGTTTGGCAAAGACTTTTATCATCACCATTACCAATAACTTTAGATATTAATTTTTAATTATGTTACGAAATAAGTTTGTCCGCAATATCTTGGATTAGAAAAATCAAACATATTTGTGCACTTCTTTTTTTTTTTTTTTGATCGGCAAGTAATAACAAGTTGATATTTTTCTTTCAGATACCGGAACAGCCCAAATTGTCGCAGTTATTGGTGGCCGCAATTTAAAAGGTAAGAAGCAAAATGTTATATAATGTCAGGAAGCCATGCTTTCAAGACAATCTCGTATAGATTAGAGTTTGGAAGCTTCTTGAATTATTAACAACTTATTACAAGACAAATCGCGTAAGGGAAAATAGAGAGAGAGAACTATGCTACTGCACCATCATGCAATCACTTTTCAAAATGACGCGTCATATCGGAAGTGGTAACGAAGTAATCCGATCTAAACCGTGCACCAGATTTCATCAAAATATCTCAAAAATTGCGGCTTGTAGGTTGGACACAAGAAAACAAAACGGACGCATGGACGGAGAAGTTTAAATCGATTCAGAGAGTCAATCGGGAACGATTGGTGTAATAAAAGGTGGGTTTTTCACAAGTCCTGCTGGAAGTTGCATACATTCGCACAAACTTAATATATCCTTGCTTTGGTGTAGGGTATAAAAATGACGCTTAGAGAATTTTTACAAAGAAAGTTAACTCTTCAGTAAATGGCAGCTAATTAAATCTTTTTTATGATCAGTATTTAACAAATCGCAAATTCATTAAATGATGACTAAAATGAAATTTAAAAGTGGTGAACACCTTCATGTTATGTTATGTTACGTTATGTTAGCATGCTCCAAGAATATCTAAAAATCTATACCAAGCATAGGAAACGATAGTTTCTGCATCAAGTTCGCATCGTAACTATCCGCCTCTCGCTGCCGCAAAACAGTTGCAGGAAATATTTAAAAGCGATATACAAAATCCTTTGCTTTGAATATATGAACTTTTCCCGTAGGCAAGTACGAAAACGGTCAACATTTTTGTTGTAGTAGTAGTAGTAGTAGTGGGTTATTGAAAGCAAAAAATTGTATAATGTGCATAAATGTGATGAAAGGATTTACAAAGCGACAACATTTTTTATATAACAAGCAAGAACATTATAGTCGGGAAGGCAACGTCTACCATTAAACACCCTATACCACATTGTCTAACGCAATTCTTATTTTTATTATAGCACACAAAAATTATATCTTTTAGTTATGTTTTTCATGCGCGTATTTATTTGAAAAGGAGCCCAAAACGCAAACGTTTAACCCTTACATAGGGCTGTATGCAAAAATAGGCGTAGACTGTCTAAATTTTGTAGAGTTCATTTTTGTATGAAATTACTATTATATTATGGGTCAGTTTCGATCACCACGTATTGAAACTTAGACTTTTCTGCTCCACAAAAGATCAATTTTCGTGAACGAAAAAATAGGCTGAGATGGTCCAAACTTGGCACAGACAACTATCTTATGTTAAATTGCTATTGTGATATAATTTTCATCGTTTCACCTTTTTGTCGTATAAACTTTAGTTTTCGTTATATGAGAGTAGGTTCAAAAATTGCCCCAACACATAGCCACTTTTGCCGAGAAATTTTGAAAATTACAATTTTTTTCCCTACAACGACCTTTCGCAATAGTGTGTTACATGGGGGAGTGATTGCAAAAGTGAACCTCTCCGAACCATTTTCAATAGCATTCCTTCTTGGGTCAAAAGGTCAAAACATCTCAAAAATTGCGAGCTAAATCTTGAGCAGAAATTCACACGGACATCACATGAGACGGACGGACAGGCGTAGCTCAATTCAAATTATGATACTGAATCGATCGGTATAATAAAAGATAGGTCCATCTTAAGCCCTTCTGTGTATTATAGTGGGCCGCACTAACTTAATATATCCTTTACCACAAGTCGTGTAGGATATAATAAAAAGTATTAGAGAACAACTTTGCACATTATTATTACTATCTAACGAAGTGAATTTCTTCATCGTATTAATTGGAAGAATAAAACTTCCATGCAATATAGAGGCATTTCCATTAAATTCCCACATTCCCTTCAGTTTGCAAAATATTCTGACAAGTTGATAAGTTGTTCTGAATGAAAATTCCAGTAAGGTTCAGTAAGGTTATTAGCAAGTTTTAAAATAATTGTTTGGAAAATGAGGCACTTTTAGAATAGTGAGTGCCTCTCGCTATCCACTACCGTTTTTTCGGTCTTTCTAATAACATATGAGTCTCACGTTGCGAAAACGATCGTTGATCTTTAAATGCTACGCAAAGATTGATCCATTTTTTACCTCTCTCTAACTCTAGTAAGAACGGAGGCCCTCTGAGTGCTTCAACTCAGCCTTCGTTTAGCACTGTAACCTAATGCTCTTTCGCTCCCTCCTAATTCTCTCTCGAACGCTATCGTGTTGCAAAATTGTTTGACCGCATTTCTCTACACGTTCTGTCCGTTTATCCTCCAATATTTCGCGTAAAAGCGTCCGCAATAACGCATTCGCTCGTGACGGTTCCGATCGGTTTTAGCAGGTCGCAATATATTATAAAAGCCCATAACTACATCCTACCTCTCTTTATTTTTTAATAAACCAATATGATGAATTTTTGAGGCATCGTACGTATCAAGGAAGGGCATTTTCCAAACACAAGACATGTCCAAGTCTTAAGCCTCTTTTGATTTATAGATGCGTCTATTTCCTGTTTTAAATGCCCATAGGCGCAATTCACTCATAAGCCTATAAAGTGGAATTACACTCATTTATATTGCAGGCCAGCTATATTATTATACTAGGATTCTAACGCCTGCATAGCTACCCACGTTTGTCTGGCACTTCACAGTAAACATCACTGTCCCTAAAAAAGCTGTCGGTCGTATGACTTTTTCTGCCAGTCATTCATTGTTTCAAACATACTATCAGTAATATTTTTCTACTAGTGACTAAAGACATCCAGTCTTTTTCTCGGAGAGATTGCAATACATCACTAAAGAAATAATTATCTTAGACACTATACAAGCAAATCTATTTTCCGTCAAATCGTACTTTTATTGGTGGCCAATGGCACCCGCACAGCGCGTATCATTGCGTTGCGGTTCATACTCTCTGTTTAATAAGAAAAAGGGAGAACAGTTTCTTTTTCCATTTACATCTAAGCAGTATCCTCCCTTCTGCCAGCTCATTAAAAATTTTGATGAAATTGTAAACAGATATCAAATAATATTGTAATTGCATCCAATCTACGTTTGCACTACACAAAGAACAAACTGTATTGCGTTGATTTGAAGGAAACCACCACAGCGCAATTAATTGCATCGTACTATGCCTTCATTAGTCGCTCATTACATACAATGCAAAAGTGATTCGTTTGTTGTCCATTATGTATGTAAATTACAGAAATAGTATGAAGCAGTTTGTAGATAGATGCTTGAAATTTCATATATATATATATATATATTAAGGATAATAGAGATTAGAGATATCGTCCCAACAGTACAATAGTGTTATTATCAATTTTACTAGTACCAGTTGCGCTCGATATTGAAAAATAGTTAATTGTGAAGTAAATATTATGCAAGACAAACATTTTCTTCTTACCATGCACATGATGATGATTAAAATGCATGAACCAATAAAATGCACTATATGTTCATCGTATGCGTATACTTGGTTACTGACTGAATGCATTAAAACGCTATTGGCATATTTTATATTTAATGTAGCGTTAAATTAAAACCCAACGTGGCATTACATGGTGAAAACCGACTGCAATGCAGATGTAATATGAATATAACGGTAGTCTTTTTTAAATACAAAAGTTTTTTATGCACTCTTCTTATGCACTTTCAGGAAAGTTACTTTTAATTAGAATCATTCGAACATTGTAAATCAACTGGTAAAACTGGTCTACCTATCATATAAACTTTTTATTTAAATTCAAGTCATGGCGTCAGAGGCTATCTCCTCAATATCCCTTCACTTCTTGTGAGACTTAAAAAACCTATGACATAAAGAGATTATTAAAAGCATATGGGAAATCGGAAGCCAGAAAAATCTGCCATCTGCATCTATTTAATTTATATACTCGGATCTCTAATACTCGGAGAATTCATAAATTATACTATATATGGCATATATTTCAAAACTTCAAATTGGGCCTGTTTATGTATACGCTCTTCAGCTTCTTCGCAAATTGATATGCACAATTTCGAAGATTTACCCAGGTTTTGACATTTCGGAAAATCGTGTTGTTTTATAACATTAGAGATTGTTAAGAGTGTGTTGCCCAAGTTGAGGGTCAATAGAGAACCTTTGACACCTCCTGCTATTACTATATCTATTACTGTTGCGTACGAATTTAATTCGCTCGATACCAATCTTCATACTCACGGATTTCGTATAGCCTCACATTTTTTTATCAGCTTAAAAAAAATTGTTTTTTTATTTTTTTATAATGCTTTAAAAAATATTGGCCGATGATAGATAATTTCCCCAGCAGATCTTGGTAGCAAAGAGGTTAAACGGGCTTCTCTCAAAAATGAGTTCGAGTTTTAAAGTCGCTGGACATCCTAAATCATTCATTCTCCTTAACGAGCGCAGCGATCTTCACACTCGAACGAAGAATTGATTCTTTTATCAGAGTTTATTTTAAAAAGCAAAGCATGGTTCGAGCACGAGGCGTACTCACCTACTAATGGAAACAATTTAGTTTATTGATTTCAGCTGATAAAGCTATCTCAAGTAATCACATCCACCACGAGGATACTTTTTCTCTAAGAAAGAAATTATCTATCGCTAAGATATCAACTATTTATGCGCACGAATTAATCGCTTGTGCTGTGCTTAATGAATTAGTTAAGCATAAAAAATTCTTCTTCATAACTTGGGCACAAAGTATATTGCTATTGCTAGGCAAGTTCGCTGTCGAAATTATTATATGACAGCAATAACTCATAATCAAACGTTTAACATAAGTCACTGATCTCGAGCTCTTGGCGCACGATACGTTTTTCGCACGACGTGGGAAGTGATTACGTATCACTCGACTGACCACGATGTCAGCGACATTAAAACCCTTTGCCATAGGCACTCATGAACTTTAAAAAGAACTTTATCGGCTACCTCTTGTTGGGTAAAGTGTTGGAAAATTCCTCCTTTTTCTCCATACTCAACAGTGTTTTACAACACCAACTAATCTTTCCAATTCGCGGCGATTTTTATCCGCGAATGATTATCCCACAATCCAGGCATGTCTGTCTTTTGTTTGTTAGTTAAACTCTATGCCTCTTAAATTTATTTATTGTACTTGTTAGACTTCAATTCAAAAAGCAAGTACTCACCGATATTGCAAAACCCTTTACCCAAATAGAGCGAAAAGGGGAATTCAAGATGTTTTTGAAACCATATCTGTCGTTCCTTATTTATGCTGAACATCATATTAAAGCGGCATGTATGCATTAGCTTTTTATTGGATTATTATACTCCTATGGGTCGATTACACACATGCCTTCATTACTGTTTCCTAGATATTAGAAATATTAAGAAAATTAACAAGAAATTATTACTCGTATATAAAATCGCGAGGCTTGAAAGACAATTCAACAAGTTTTAAATTTAAGCAAGAAACAAAAAAAAAAAAAGAAAATGTAGAGGCGCCATATGTAGATGATATTACTAAACAGCTCATGTGTGCCAAGCAATTTTTGCACTTTATAAACTTTTTCAGTTTGATATCAACACATGCGTTTGCGAACAACTTTATTGAAACATATGGCAAATTTTGCTAAAACGAGAATTCGCCAAACGATGAATTCTTTCTGTTCTGTTCGCATACAAATAAATTTAAAAAGTTTCCACAACAGATTTATAAAAAAAAAAAAAAAAACAGAAAAAAAAGGAAAAAAGTTTTCCGAAACTTTAGTTCAATCTCTGCTTAGTTTTAACTAACTCTGCACGCATTTGTATACACCTATTGGCATACTTGATAGAGAAGCAAAGCAGGCAGTGCAAGCATGCTTGAAAAACTTTACAAACATTTTTAAAAAAATATACTTTGAAAACTTTGATAGAGAAAATCGATCGTTTTACAAGCGCCGCAAATATTTATAGATTTTTCGGAATCCATTGAATGCTTTTTCATTATTTCCGCATCTGCTATTAAAAGTTTTCTATATACACTAATCGTACCTTGGGGGATACATGGAAACGCTCATTGTCTGAACGCACTGGAATTCCCCGTCGAGTTAAAAAGATTGTTGTTCTGTTGTCGAGCAATCAGCACTGATACGAAACCATTACCACAAGCTCTTTTATTCAAAGGCTTTATTGTAAAACATCATTCACGAGAGATTATCTTAGATTACTTTCCTTAACTACCTATTTTACCGTTCCGGATATCTCTTCCTAGAAAGCAAACTGACTTGTGACTTGTGACATCATTTTGAAGAACACTTCACTCGCTTTCATTTTCTCTCTTTTTGGTTCAGATCACAACCTGAGAGTTTACTTCGCATGTTGAACTTGGACTTATGAGAATTTACATCTCGACTAATTATTTTGCCGTTTATTGATAAACAAGGGAATATACTGCCTATAAAAATATTTACGTATTTATTTATTTTTATATATGTACATATAAATATGACCTCAATAATATTAGCTTGACCTTCTCATACAAGTTGGATCTAAATATTCAAAGGAAAAGAAAAATCAAACTTGATGAGATTTTATATTATACCGATCCCCCAGAGTGGCCGAATAGGCCATAGTTTCGGCTAGCAACTCAATGGTCGTGGGTTCAAATCTCAAGTGCGGTAGAGTTTTTAGTAAAGCCGAAATCCTTAGATGCTAGTACTTTAAGTCTTAGAATTTATTCTCTGGCTAAATTTATAATAATAACTAGACTAGAAGTTAACGCTACTCGTATCCGTACGTATCACTGTGCAATGCGAATGACGTAAAGATTCAAATTAGATTTGATAGAAACACGGGCCGCGGCAAACTTCGAAAATAAACTCCATAAAAGAAAATCGTCAAACTTAGCAGTTTTTGTTAAAGTCATTATCGTAGACAGAGTGGCAGAGTGACTTTTAATGATTACATTTTTATTTTTATCAATCGTAGACATCTCCGATTCTAAAATCAAATTTTAATTCAGGAAAAAATATAAAAAATATATATAGCAAAAATTTGGATTTGCTAAAGAAGAATAAACGAAGAAACTATGAAAAAAAGTCGTAGTGAATTTCAGATGTGGGATTTCGATTTGATTTGCATCGGCGTTGGTTCGGGCGGTTTAGCTTGCGCCAAAGAAGCAGTACGTTTGGGTGCCAAAGTCGCCTGCTTGGATTTTGTCCGACCGACACCGATTGGAACTCGTTGGGGTATTGGCGGAACGTGTGTCAATGTGGGTTGCATACCAAAAAAGCATATGCATCAAGCCGCTCTGCTAGGTAATGCTATAGAAGATGCCACCCACTTCGGTTGGAATGTGCCTAAAGACTCTGCAATAAATTGGAAAAAACTGGTTACCGAAATACAAAATAACATCAGATCGACTAATTGGGTTGTCAAAGTAGAATTGCGTACTAGAAACATGACGTACTTTAATGGTATCGGTTCATTTATTGATCAGCATACAATAAGAGTGAAAATGGCTAACGGCTCAGAGCAACAGATTACAGGCAAATACATATTGATAGCTATTGGAAATCGTCCTGTTTATCCGAAAATACCTGGGGCTTTAGAATATGGCATAACTAGCGATGATCTGTTCAGTTTGCCTAAACCACCGGGTAAGACATTGTGCGTGGGAGCCGGCTATGTAAGCATGGAATGTGCCGGATTTTTAAATGAGTTGGGTTACAATGTTACCGTTATGGCACGAGCCGAAATTCTCAGCACGTTTGATCAAGAAATGGTAAACATCTTGAAGGAGTACATGGCTTCGCGTGGTGTAACCTTTTTGCAATACCGTTTGCCAAAATCGGTGGAACTAACTGAGAACAAACAGTTGCTGGTAAAGTTTCGAAATATTAAAAACGAAAATATCGAGGAACATGGTATTTTTGATACAGTCATTTGGGCGATGGGTAGACGGCCACTTTTAGATGATATTAATTTCTCGGCCGTGAATCTAACAATAGATGATTATGAAATTGTAGTCAATAATTTTGAACAAACTAGTGTCCCGAACATTTTCGCAGTTGGCGATGTCGTGAAGGGAAGACCCAAACTAACTCCGGTAGCTATAAAAGCTGGAATTTCAGTGGCTAGACGATTATTCGGCGGCGCCGATGATTGCGTGAACTACAACAATATACCGACAACGTTATTCACACCTTTGGAATACAGTTTTGTAGGAATGACAGAAGAAGAAGCTTTACGCCGATTCGATGAGAATGACATAGACGTGCATCATGGTTATTACAATCCGATTGAATTCATTGTATCACAACGATCTACTGCGTATTGTTATATAAAAGTCATCACGAGACGTGATGAAGCCTGCCGTATAATAGGTATACATTTTATTGGACCGAATGCCGGTGAAATTTTGCAAGGCTTTGCTGCGGCAATTAATTGTGGTTTGACTGTGGATGCACTGTTCTCAACAGTAGGTGTTTACCTTACCAATGCAGCAGAGCTAACCAAAGTGTTTATAACAAAACGTTCCGGTTTGGATCCTTCGAAACCCTTGTATGTCCTAACTTGAGAAACTTTATGCTTCAAAAATCAAATTTAATTTTATCACTAAGTGAATGCAATTAATTAATACACGCTTATGAACTTGACTAAATTTCACTAATTAGATAAATACGAATTTTTAAAATTTATCTTTCGTTTCATCTTCTCTTAGGACTCCTTAGTGAGAGTCGTCCTATTCACGATTTTTTTCTTTTTACATCGGTCACATTGTCCTAGATACAGTTTTGAAGACGGAAGGAAGAAGCTTCTTTCATTTCTAATATTTTATTCTTGAACAATAATTTGTTTATACTGCAAGTGAAAGACTAAAGTGAAAGATACAAGTTAGGGATGTATATCAATTGTTAAATCAAATATTATTTCTAAAGTCGTAGTAGAACGTTGCTGGCTCTTTCTGAATGATTGAATGAATTCTGCTTCCATGAAAGCTGGAGTCGTTCTCGTTGTGTATGCTAACCTTCTTTTGTTTGCGTATTCTTATTCAACACTGGGAACATGATATTGTACTAATGTTTGTTTAGGTTCGAAGAAACCACGTTCCAAACATATACACAATAATTTGCAGATTAATTTGCATGCCAGCTGCATATTAAAGAGCATTTTCTTGTCCAACAAGCAAGAGCATTAGGTAGACGTGTTGATGAAAGGATACCTCAAGCGGTGACATAAACCGCAACGACAGCAATCTAAATTATCTCCTTGTATAGCATTTTATGAAACTAACTGCACCTATTGAAAATTTGACGGATTTTGTGAGTCTCAATTTAGCAATTAGACCCTTTTGTTTTAAGGTGTCAAGCGACTTTTTTCGTTTCTCCGACATTCCTAGAATTAGCTTACGCAATAGAAGAATATTAGGTGCTTGTTCGATTTTATTGGTTGAGTTGTTCACCTAAGAATGACAGACAGAGTGCCCCTTTTTCCTAAAAATTCACGGAACAATACTTATCATGCCCGAAATTTCAATGAGAAAATCTTGCAAAGGTTGATGAACCAAAAAAATCGAGGACCAACTTCTTAATTTGTTGGCCTCTAGGAAAGCAACTATTGTTGTTTGCGCTTCTTCGATAATCGTACGCGTACCGTATGCTTGTAATACTACCGCACCGATCACATTCAACGAGACGGCTGACAAAAAAGAACTTTTACCACGACCTCATGCTCAATCATTGTTGATAAAAAACGTGAAAAGGGAAACGTTTAAAAGACACTTCTCGAGTAGTTGACTCTTACGGTCGAATGCATATTTCTTAAGTTTCTTCTTCTAGAAACTCAGCGAATGATAACTGATTGTCCGTTGTTCGCATAAAGTTCGTTTGTCAAAAGTGAATTTTTAATAGAATTTCTTTCCATCATTTGGGCTGTGAATGCCAATCTCAATATGTCATCTATGATTTCAAAATCTTCTCTCTATCAACATGTCTAAAAGCAAATAGACTCAGTTTACAAATATTTTTTAAATATTTGTGCATCTATTTTTTAAACAAAATCTTTTAAATATCTCGAAAATAGTAAAAAAATTTTAAGATGAACTGCATAATTATGAATTTGATTTGAGAAAAATTTGCTAAATTGAAATAATTTTTTAAAGATATTTTCGTATTTATTTTCTAAACAAATGCAAAAAAAAATTTTTTCAAAAATATGAAAAAAATTGAAGTTGAAAAGCATGATAATAATTACGAGTTTGATTTGGTTTGCATTGGCGGCGGAAGCGGTGGTTTAGCCTGTGCTCTAAAGGCGGTGGAGCTAGGCGCCAAAGTTGCTTGTATAGACCCACAGCGTGGTGCTGCTGGAATTTATACCAACGCTGGTATTACATACAAAAAGCAAATGCATCAAGCGTGCTTGCTAGGAAAAGATATACGTCATGCCGCCTACTATGGTTGGAACATATGCAGTGCACGTAAACGTCCAATAAACTGGCGAAAGTTGATTTCTAGTATACAAAATGTTACGGAAGATGTTGCAAAAGAAGATGACCGTATGAAATATATAAAATTCTTCAATGGCTTCGGTTCGTTTGTTGATGCTCGCAGCGTAAAGATTAAGTTGATCAACAACGAAGAGCTTTTAGTTACAGGTAAACATATTCTAGTGGCCACTGGAACTCAGCCTGTTTATCCTAAAATCCCCGGCTCGTTGGAATATGGTATAACAAGCGACGAATTTTTCTCATTGCCATCACCGCCCACGGGTAAAACATTATGCGTGGGCGGTGGCGTCGTTTGTATGGAAATAGCCGGTATTTTAAATGGTCTCAATTTCAATGTGACTGTTATGGCCCGTAGTGAAGTACTTCGGGGTTTCGATCAGGAGATGGTTAAACTTGTAATGAAGGACATGACTTCCCGCGGTGTAGCATTTTTACAACATTGCTTCCCAAAGTCAATAGCATTAACGCGATGTAAGCGTTTAATTGTTACTTATAATAACAGTCAAAAAAACAATGCCGAAGAATTTCGTATATTTGATAGAGTCATTTGGGCTATCGGTAGACGAGCACTTTTAGACGACATTAACATCTCGGCCATAAATCCAGCTTTAAATGATTCTGAGATTATTGTCAACGAATATGAAGAAACAACTGTGCCAAATGTATATGCATTAGGTGATATCACCAGTGGCCGGCCGAAATTATTTTCGGTAGCTGTGGCTGCCGGGGATCTCCTGGCTCAGCGGCTATTTAGCGGTGCCGGCCGTACAATGAATTATGAGAATGTAGCGCGAAGAATATTCACGCCGTTGGAATATAGTTTCGTAGGTTTAACTGAAGAAGAGGCTGAGGAGCGGTTCGACAGAAGCGGCATACAGATACATCATGGTTACTACGAACCATTAGAACTTGCTTTAACTCACCATTGCACGAATTTCTGCTACATGAAAGTGATCGCCAAATGCGATGAACATTATCCCATCTTAGGCATGCATATTACTGGACCGAATGCTGGCGAAATTATGCAAGGTTTTTCCGTGGCCATAAACTCCGGTTTAACTTTGCATAAGCTATTCGCGACGGTAGGAGTTTGCGCCACCAATGCACAAAATTTCACCCAACTTTTTAACAAAAAGAATTAAACTTGAAATTTTTTTGGTTCCAACGGTTCGACAACTATAATTATATAAAAAAAAAAAAAAAAATTGAAAAAAATAATAATTGCTTTTATTTGTAAAATATGGGTAAAATTTGTCAAATAGTGGAGCATTTTTCGTTTTGCACCTTTGAACCTTTTGTTTTGCTTTGTTGCTTTCAAGATTTGACTTATCAAAGTCTACGTTTTCTTAATAGAATATTACCTACTTGAACGTTTATAAATTGGAAAAGATGCTTGTATGTGACACCCACTTGATCACCATAAAAACGCGTCAATGGATGACGGATGGTAAGGAAAAATCCTACCAGGCCAGAGAATAAAAAACTGTGATCTTAATGAATTCCAATTCAGATATAATCAATGTGTGCGTACGTCTACAGCGGTTGCACAATTTTGAATATATAAATGAGTTTGAAATTTTGTTTTTTTTTTAACATTTCTACGAAATACCACTTAATACCACACACACAATAAGTTGCGTAAGTCGTCGCCTTTTCTGAAGTTTTCTATCATCATCTCCGCTGTAGCATTGTACCTAATTGCTGTGGAATATTACAAAGTTTTGTTTGTTTTATTTTCTTTTCAACTTTGACACTACTTTCATCCCATTCCTTTACCCACGATAGCAGTGTGTGTCAGCATATAAATCTTTGAACGAGAGACGAGAAAATCGAACAAAATATCCTCACATTATGGGATAGAAGATAAAGTTTCTCACTTAAATTCTTCCAGTGCCAGGCCGATGATGAATAAATGTTTTATGTACGTATGTGCACGTAAACAATTTGTTTTGTAGAAATTTAGTTTAATAACGTTGGTGTAAAAAGTTTTATATAAAAATATGCAAACGTGCTTGACAATAGCGTAGCGAGCCTTTGCCATTCGTAAACCTATACAGATCTAGACATGTTGATAAACAAATTATATAGAAATAAAAGGAATTAATCATAAATTTCACCCTTATTCCGAAACGATTACATACAAGCGACACTTAGTCGA